CGAAATACTTCAGATTAGTAAAAAGTCGTAAAGTTCTTTTTTACTTTTAAATTTTATCAATTGTACAAAATGAAAATATCGAAATCAATATTAATATCCCTAAATAATCTTTATAAAAAAGCTAAAATTTTTAAATTATAAATAACCGATAAATTATAACTAAAAATACACAATTAATATGTGGTTGAAGGGTTGAAGCTGAAATTACTAAAGTTGAAATTTATAATAGCTATTGCAGTGCAATGATTCATGGTGTAAATAAGAAATTTACAAATAACTTGATAAAGCTATCAAAAACTAATGAATAACCGTTTTATTAATAAAATTTTACAATATAGACTTTTAAGGATTATATTTTCTTATGTTTAAGATATATTATATATTATAAAAATCAATTTTCCACAAAACTTTTTTTTGTTAATTTGGTCCTTTTTCTCAGCACCCAACCCATATATTCGAGTTCCTAATACCCTCATAATCCAAATTGTTATACGTAATTCTGAAGATAATCTGATGGATATCATTTGACAATATCCCACTTTTGCTTATGTTAATATAAAAATTCTTACTTTATGATCTAATTCTGCATACTATTGTTAGGTTATAAATTATTTTTAATTTTTCTTTTTGAGCATTTCTATTTCATGAACCTAAAGCACGACTAAATATATCTTGCAAAGACTTATTATCAAAGAAAATTTTATCAGGGTCGTACTTTACACGTACTTTCTCAAATTGTTTAATTTGATCTGATAAAACTTCAGAAAGATAAGATTTCACATTTGGAATAAATTCCCATTCTTTTGCCCAGTGAGGTCTAGAGTAAATGAAATTGTATAATTAGTTAATTAATGAAATTTGTTGTAAATAAAAAAATTTAATAATTCCTTACTTTGCGCTAATAATTGAGTAAATTCTTTCCAGCTAGGAGTACCAATAATCGTTGCGAAGTTTATTTGACAATACAAAGTCTTTTGATCATGATTGAAAGTAGTAGATAATAATGCATCAGTTGATTTTATGATTCTAATAACTATATAATAGTTTATTGGATTCTTTGTTTGTTATTATCCATTCATAGATGAGAAGTTCGTTACGAACCCTTCGGCAACAACAGCACAACCACTTACATATTATCAGAGTGGGTATAAGAGA